TCCTGCTGCCTAGAATGCTCTCACCCAAGTTCTTCACCTTACTTGATCTTTCTCTTCATTCAGCTCAAAAACCATGTCCTCAGGGAGGCCATAACTGGCCACCTTATTTAAAGTGGTCTCCTTCAGTGACGATCCCCTTCCCTGATGCACTTCCTTCCTGGTGCTGATCACTCTGGAATCATCTCTGAGTGCTCGCCTGTTTTGTTATCAGTTTCCTCCACTAGCCTGTGAGCTCCTGGAGGTCAGGGGCTTTGTCTTATTTGTTGTTGTACGTGTAAAGCCAAAGTCAAGACCTGGACCACGTTGGGATCTGCAGATATTTGAATGAAAGTGTTGTAGGTTGAATGAAAAGTGTCCCGGTTGGGATCTCTCCACCCAGTTTTAGCCCTTCCCACGATGTCAACTTGTGCTGGTGGCCTAGGTCAGAGACAGAGAGAGAGATGCCAAGGCAGTTTGTGGTTCAGCATCAAACACATTTATTTCACTTTTATTGAGTATACAAGAACAGAGAGCACACGCATACAGCACGGAGCACTGAGGTGGGGGAGCGCGGGGACAAGAGAGGAGAGAAGGGTGCGAGTAAAAAGGACCAGGACAGCATCGCAGTTGATTGGGAAGGTGCTTTTGGGAAAAAAAAAAAAGTATATATTTAGAGTGATGTTGTTCATGCAATTTCAGGCCAGTCTTGGAATGTGCTTGCAGGATTCAAAAACTGAAACAGGTCTTGGCACTTCCTATACCCTCAGATGGAAAAGATCCCAAGAAAGCAAAAGAAGGGAGAAGGCTGGCAGAGTGGCAAAAGGGCATGGAGAGCCTCTGCTTTATCTTCTTTGTTTTGCACATGAGGAAACTGAGGCCCCGAAGCGGGAATGGGACTAGCTCAGTGGCACGTGGTGAGTTAGGGGTTGAGCCAGGATGGCCACCCAGAACTCCCGACTCCCTCCAGGACTTTTTCCACCATGCTACATGGTCTCCTGGGTGGAGAGGTGACACAGAAAGGATGCGAAATGTAAAAAGGAAAAGTAGGTTGAAGACAGACAAGACAAACATCTATATTCCCTACGAAGAGGAGGATGGGGAGGAAACAGTGCCCTAGATTTCAGCTTTGCAGCTCCCCTCCTCCCTGCTGGCACTGCCTGCCTCTCGGCAGAAGGTCAGAACATCTGTGGGATGGAGAGCTCCACAAACCCTGGCTGGCCCACAAGCTAATAAGCCTGGTCACACCTTCCCTGCCCTAAAGCCACACACTTAGGGTCTGTAGGCAGGCACAGAACCCAGAACAAATATTCTCTCTCTGAGGTATGTCCAGTGTGCTCGGGACACCTGGTTCCTGCAAAGACAGGCATGCCTGAGCCCAATTCCAGGTGGCCCGGAGAGGGCGGAGCCACTCCAGCTCTTGGCCCAGAAACGCTGGGGGCTCTCAGGCTGAGGAGGACAGGAACGAGGCTCTGTGTCTTCTCTCCCAGGACTGTAAAAAGAACCTGGTGCGTTCAAAGTGTGCCTTCGCTCTCAGGGGGAGTTGGAGTGGGCCACCAGCCTGCCCCAGAGGGGATGTGGCTGACTGTGCCACCTGAGCCCCAGGTGCAGGGCTCTCTCCGCCCTCTCTCCATCCCATTTTTGCCCACAGAGGCAAACACTGTTCTGGTTTCTTGTCCTGCCTCAGGTCAGCACCAGTTAAGCAGCTAAGCATATGTGTCACCGGGGTAACTAATAAGCAAGCCAAGCCCCTCTCTGGGACATCCCTAGGCAATGTCTGATAATTGGAGAGAATTCGGAAATGTTCTCAGAGGGGTTAGAGATGTAAGGCTGGCTCAGGGGTCTTCCCAGGTCCCTCTGCCCGCCCCCCCCCCCACGCTTTCTCCTTGAGCCTAATGATAGTGCCTGGCACAAGTAAGTACTCAATAAATATTTGTTGAGTGAATTTATCGCCTGCTTTAGAAGCAGGATGGGGGAAATGAAATGGGACTGAGAAATTAAAGGACAGTAGGGAAAAACTCCCTCAGAAGGGGCCTCATTAAGCTCAGGGAAGCAGCTTGTGTCAGGAAAGCCTAGGAAGGCCCACGTGTGCCAGAGGGCAATGCCAAGCTTTTGATGGGGGTCTTCTCCAAGGGCTTCTGTGGTCTCAAGGCCATTTTTGGGACTCCGAGGGCACAGGCTCAGAGCGCAGACGCCGACTGAAGGCGAGGTCTCTAAAGCCAGGGTCTTATATGTAGATCCTCCTCGGCTTACTCTGGGGCAGGCGAAGCCTTTGGGAGTGCGGTTTTGACCTATCAGGGCCTGCCCTGTGTTCAGTCTCTACCATGGCTGCTTTGGCCCAGGAAGCAGAGAATGATTCAGACAGAATACAGGAGTGGTAAAGGAAAAGACTGGGCTGAGGATGTTCAGACAGCCAGGTGGAAGCCACCATCTTCCGCGGCAGCTGGGTACGTCACCTCCCTCGGGATGGGAGTTAGCTGTCACAAGGCGGTCAAGGAAAAGGCAAGACGTGGCAAAACAAAGAGAGATTGAGAAAGGAGGCGAGCCTCCTAGGGAGGCGAGGGCGCTGAGCCGGGAGACCTGTGCACCAGAATCCTAACTCTGGACCCCACGCCTGAGCACAGACCAGCCCCCGGTTGCTACTGCCTAGGGGGAGAAGGCATCTTGAACCACACCCGTGTTGCTTCCTTCTTGCCAAAATCCCTGCCTCTCCACCTGGGGACCCCGCCCCTCCCCACCAATCAGTCAATTACAAACACCACACACTGTATTTCTACACTGAACCGTCGGCTCCTACTGTGAGCGACCCACAGCCAGAGTCCGGGTCTCCTTGGCAGGGTCAGTTCGGTGAGATCTAGGAACCTTGGGATACATCAATCACAGTCAGATAATTATAATTTTAAAATGTCAGCTTCATACTTACCAGCACTGTTTATTTTAATATTTGTTTCCTGTTATATGTAATATACATAACTTAAAAGCACATCCATACAAATCTACGAGCTGCACCTTCATAATGAGAACCCATAACATACAATGTCTCCTTCACCTCCAGTGGCTTGGTTTCCACATTCTTGCTTTGCTTTGCTTTTTCTCGCTTCCAGTGAGAGTCATCTGCAGTGGCCCTCAGCAGGACCAGGACACAGAAGGTCAGGCGGGGGTGGGGTGGGGAAGAGGGAGGAAGGAACCCAGACAGAAAATGACTGACAAGATATGTGACAGTCGACGGGGAGGGGAGGCGGAAGAAAGGAAGGTGGATTTTGCAGCCCAGTGTCAAGACCCAAAAAATAAGAATCTAGTGTTCCTCCTCCTCCTTTCCGAGCAGGGACTTTTCTCTCTTGGAAAACGTTTGACGGGGCGTGTCTTGCTGCTGCAGCTTCTCTTGCTTGGCTGCAAAAGTGTTTTCCTTTGCATTTGAGTGGGCAACAGACACAGGAGAAGAGATGGAATGCTCGTCCACTGAATGGCACATGTAGAACCCGGGTCGCATTGTACTCCTTCAATCAGCGTGGTCTGGCTTTGCCTTGGTTGTTCCGCGGGGCTTCAAGGGGGGTTGGGACAGGCGCGGCG